TAAACAATTGCATAAAATGGGTGGCTCGAGGGATGGGAGAATGATGGAAGGGGTTTGACTTGAGAGAAATGGCGTGAAAAGGACATTCGGGAGGCATAGTTTCATTACTATTGAAGTAAAAGCCCAAAGGAGGTTATATCCTCTCCCCTTAACCATACACTCGACAATAGCATCCCTTTTTTGAGAGAGAATGTCTGAAAATTATCATCTCCACCTTTTCTATTAGAACCAAGCTTAAGGGAGAAAGAAAGAGAAGAGAAAACAAAAGAATGGGAAGGAAAAACTAAACTCAACATAGGTAATGATCTCACTTATAATTTATCCTTCTCTAATACTCTCATATGATTAAGTAAATCATTTTATAGACCCATAGGCTTTTTCTACACATTTAGATGTGAAGAATGAGTGGTTGGAACTTGGAAGGTTGGCTTCTAGCCAACAACAGACATAGAAGCCAAAGTAGAGCGATTCGCCGGAAAGTGACTTTTGAGAAGTCATAAGTATTAATATGAGTCTTTGGGACACAAAACCTTGTTAAGGACTTGTTTAAGGTGGAGTTGACTTTCTCAAAGAGTTGAGAAGTGGTCAGAGTGGTCGTTGGAGCTTGCCGAAGTTTCACCGGAGTTTCGTCGGAGCTCAACCGGGGAGGCTAGAACTTCATAAGCTTCATTAAGGTGAGAAGACGACTTTATGCTTTATGACTTTTGAGTGAGGCACAAGATTACCTAAATTAATCCATGAATATATTTTATGAAATGATTAATTACATCTAAGTAGTATGTGTTATGCCTTGTTAAAGCATGATTATAGTTGAAAAGCATATTCTGCGAGTTTGGTTATTAAAAATGTTCCAAAGATCCAAAAAGGTATTTTTCGTATTCCTTAAATGTAATTTCATAGAGATTGGACCTAGTTTGGGTAGTCAAACGAGCGTTGACCTCCAAGTCAAAAATCTGCCAATTATATAAATGGACAGTTTTGGGTGGTTCATCATGGTTCGTTCAAGTGGGAATCTTCCATGACGACCTCTAAGGAATTATATATGATTATAGGACTAGGAATAGTCCATATATAAATGTATGAGGTATTATCCATATCCTAGTTAGGATTATGGAAGGAATGGGTGGGGTAGAGTACGCTTGTGCGGTAAATGATCCTAAATACTCGAGGTTGTGGTTAAGTACCCTTGAACGGTGAATGATCCTAAATACTCCAGGTTGGGGTTGACTAACCTTGGGCGGTAAATGATCCTAAATACTCCATGTTGGGGTTGAGCACCCTTGGGCGGTAAACGATCCTAAAATACTCGGTAGACTATACGAATGTAGGATGTAGCTTACGAGCTAGGCATTCGGGAAAAGGAATGAGAAGGGTCGAGTATAGACTTATTCTCTAAGAGTCTCTTTAAATGAAAATGACCTATGAGTTGAGTATTTTACAAGTATATACGGTATGTTTCGTCTTATGGGTGGGGTAACAGTAGTTACACTATATCATTACACCTATAAATATATGTATCACCCTATTTTTGGGTCTTGTGTCTGAAACACTAGTTATTCCTCATATAGCATGCTTGTCAGTAGTACTACTTTTTGTGGCCTCACTATTTTCAGGTTAAGGCTAGAGTCTTACTACATGCACCTTCGCTTAGGGTGATCATCAATAAGGAAGACTTGGTTCGTGCTTCCATTCTTATTTGTAATTATGGAATCGCTCATGGATATTTAAACATTGATTTCTATCAAAACATTTGGGGGTCTGCATGCTCATGTTTTCCACGTGTGGCTAAATATCAAACACATTATTATTTCCGCATTTTATTGGGTATTTATATTGATGTTGGTTGTATGTGTTTACGACTAATCGGTTTGGCAATAGAATCTATCGAACGCCTTTTATAATTCAATAGGGATGAACTACTGTTGTTCTTATTGGGTTGTACGGTGGTTGTCTACATGGCATGGATGCGGTCCGGGGCGTGATACACGCTGATGCTATTTATTGCCGAATATTAAAGGGAGATTAATATCTATCGGTACTTAGTGGCAGGTACATTTGCCAGTAATTTCTATCAGTAAATAATGACAGAAATATTCTGTCACTAAAATCCATCATTAAACTACAAAATAAATAGTACTCCCAAATCAATCTTCCACGCATCTCACTTGATCAATTCACTTTAATAGCCCCCAAAATCAAAAGTCGGTTTAAAATGAAGTTTTTTAAAGAATTAAAGTTTTTTAGATATATTTATATATTTTATTATATGGGCATATATGTTTGGATAAGAGAAAATATGTTGTGCTTTGTTTCTATCAATTTCATAATGTCTCTTCAAAACTAGATTTTAAAATCTAATTATAAGTGTGATGGAGGTGATATATAGGTAGAAAATAGGTACAAAATTTGTTATTGAGTTGTTTTTACTTGGAGTGATTGAGAAAGATGAGAAGGAAGTATTTTAATTAATTAGTTTATTCAATGAAGGTGTAAACGAGCAATACTGGATCGCGCATGTTTATTTATAAAATGATGCCTGTTTATCATGAGTTCATTTTTGATAAGCTATGTTTTTTTGTATACATGTCATTTGAAGATACTGAAATACAATATGCTTTCATTTAAAAGTATAGAGATGTTGGACAAAAGTGCAAATGAAACTATGTATCTGAAGAGGTATCAGGCAGTTGGGGTCGCTCATCACCATCTCCACATCCTGCTGCACTTGGAAAGAACCCTATGCTCAATATGGTGCCACTTAAAGGTGTAGGCGCTGCCGAGCAGCAGAACAAATCAAACTGTCTGAAACAAAGGGGGTACTATAGGCATGCATTTCAATCTGCTCAGCATCCTCTTTGCCTTCTACTGCACGTATTGGGGTGTTTTTTATTTTCTAGATGACATGTGTTTGATTGGGTTGTATATTTTGATGTTCTATTTGGGCGGAAACTACTTTTATGTTTGGATTTCTACCGGACTATGTTTATATATATATAAGATTTTAACGTGAAGGAAAATAAAAATACAACAGAGTGTGTCACTAAAATATGGTCAAATTAAATTGAATGTTTATAACTTTGATTTATGCTCTCCCTGACTGGTTATATTTCTAAGGAGATTGGGGGTGTAGTTGTTCCTTGTGGTAGTGAACGAGCATTTTTCTTGCATCATATGAAAACATGTTTGCTTTATCTGCATAGTTCCAATGCCGAATTAAACCGAACGATATATAAGTCTAATTATGAGAGTGGGGTGCTCTGGAAGACCAAACAATGATTTGCCATCTTTGGTTAGTGAGAACTACCATTCACAAGTGATGAGAGTGGACGTGATTGCTTGCTAAGTAAATACCTAATTAACTACAAGAGTAGTTTCCTTACTAGCACTAAATATCCGAGTCAATATCCAGGTTATCTGAACTGATATCCTATGTTTCTGTATCAGTTATTTCTTTGTTTGTATTTTTTATTTTTTATTTTATCTCATGTTAGGTGTTGTATTATATTATCATATTCTATTTGACTTTGAGGCAGTATAATGAGTAACATTATGACATTATTTTCAACAATGTGGAGTGATTTTAAATATTGTAACTTTGTTTTTTGATTTTCTAATATTATTTGACATTTTCAACATTGTTTTCAATATTGTGACTTTATGTACGTCATTGTACCATAAATTCCGCATTGTAGTAATGTTTATACCTATAACATTAGTAGTGTAGTCAACATGGTGAAACCTTTTTGTAAAATTGGTTTATTTCTTTATAATATGTATAATTTTTTATTTTAGCAATGAAAATTCTCACTGCAATATAACAATCTAGTCTGACTGCGTGAATAAGGCACTACATAGTGACTGACCTTAGCGGAAATACAACAATGGTCACTGGAATCGTCCATCAGCTTTCGATAGTGGTTTCCATGTTCTGCAATGGTCGGAAGACAGAATCTGGCGTCGAATGCCACTATTGAATATTGTTGCCTTAAGACATAAGTGGTTGCCTTAGTCCTGTAAAGGTGGTGGTTCGAGAGACAATAGCAGAAGTTTTCAAAGAGTTTGGCGGTTTTCAAGAGTCGCTAGCGTTAGTTTTTCAGAGAGTGTGACTACCATCAGTAGCCACTAGTGGCGGTTTTCAAAGGCTGTTATTGTAGTCTCACTAGAGATGGCAATGGTGGTCTCACGCAACAACATTATAGACAGATATGGTAATGGAAGTCACTAAACGTTTAGTTGTGCTTTTTGTAATTCTGATAGTGTTTGTTGAATGGTCCGACATTGTTCGTCAGAGGTACAGTAGTGCTATGAAGAAAAGAGTGCTCACATGTGATAGCGGTTCATATGCTTCAGCGGATTTCAGACGGTGGCCATCACAATTCTCATAGAGGTCGCAAGAGTTGGGGCACTGGTTCTCAAAGTTTGGTTTGCTACTAGAGCTGATAACGGAGATGATATTTTGAACTAGTTTTGAAATTAATGAATCCATATGTCAGAGTTGCATATCGATGAATGTATATTTTCATCCCTCTTAAATTTCTAGTCCAAATTAGGTTTATAGAAGTAGTTACTCTTATTTAAATATAATATAACGGTAATGTTTCACTATTGTCCGTATCTTTTTTCAAATAGTAAAATTTCATCATTTTACATTAAAAGTTTTCCTTTTGACATCAGATTTCAAAAATTTCTCGAGACCTTTCATTTTTAGATCAACGAACATAATTAACAAAAGTTTTTTTATTAGATCTGCTTCTTATATGAACCTAAATATATATGTTTACATATAAGTCTTTATTTGTTTGTGTGATTTCATTCGCGTGTGCGTGCACACATGAATTGTTATATGGCATTTGATTGAGAGAATGTGTATTGACCTATCCTCCTCCCTAGTCTTTAGAACTTTGTTTCAGTTTAGATATTTATTTACAACCTATTCATATCACACCTTAATCTGGGCTATATAGTATGACAATGAATATCTAAGTCTAAGCAAAAAATCATTTAACTGAATAAAGTTTTATTGTTGTTCTTAAAATGCTTTGAATACATATGGTGGAAAAACACTTTTAAGGAAAGACGTGTCTTTGTGATTACTAACATACAATTTGACAAGTGCAAAGGCTTTGGTTTGCTGCAAGAGCCGAACATACACACTTTTGGGGCATCTCACTTGCCGGCCAATGGAACAACGCCAAGTATCCACAACTAATGTTACTACACACATCGTCTACGGTAAAAGTTCCTGGGCAAAACTTGATGTCATCCCCTAAAACAAAAATAGAAATATAAAACTAGGTAAGAGATAAATAAGATACTCATACATAACATTTAATCATCTTCTAATCTATAATCTTTTGTCTTAAGATAAAATTACGACCTCCCATACCATGCATGTATACTAATTGCAATAGTAATTTTTTTGGTTACAATGGAATAGATAGTATAAAAACAATGCAGGTATTATTAACACAATGGTGTTGAATAATTATATTCATATAGGTATTGGAAAACATACCTAGAGACGGAGTAAGAAGACTCGACAAAATTGCCAATGAAAGAATGGTGGTTACAGTATAACTCTTCATGATCTTTGTTATATGATGATGATGATAAAATAATGACTTTAGAGTATTTAAGCAGGATAGGTTGTATTTTTTCCCTGGTGGTGTCACAGATGCACACACACACACATATATATATATATATATTCATTTGTGCATACGTATCTTGAAAAGTAGAAATAATATCTAAACTTAAACAGAAAGACAATCAAGTCATGGACCTATTTGCTATATAAAAAGTTCATTGAAATAGTATGATATCGTCTAAATAAAGGATGTACTTAAATTCATTTATATGAATGAATGTTCATAATGATACAATTGAACAATTAAAAAATCTATGTAGAATACTCGCATGTTTCCACTCTTATAATGCCTAAAAGTGTAATGTTATAAATACCTTAAATGTGTACATTTTAGGGAGATACTTTTTGTGGCACATATTCATTAAGGATTTGAAGATGAAAAAATTAAGTATGTCATTGATCACTATCCAATGAATGTGTAATGGCATGTCGTAATGTCCTCATACGATATCCATATTTATTCAGTGGCAGATTAAAGCTCGTAATAAATTCCAGGGACCACTAAATGAAATTTGGGAAATATATATTCACTCTACAAACCCAAATTAAGTGGTAGAATGATATATATTTCATTTGGCCCGATAAAATGAAATTTAATTAAAACAATTCAGAAAATACAACTTTTGAGACGAAGTGTACATTTCGAGGTACAAAGGGGTGACCTCCCACATGAGTGGTGGTCACCCCAAGAAATTATTTAAAACAATTGCATAAAATGGGTGGCTGGAGAGACGGGAGAAGGATGGAATGGGTTTGACTTGAGAGAAATGGCATGAAAAGGACATTCGGGGGAGGGGGGGGGGGGGCATAGTCTCATTACTATTGAAGTAAAAGCCCAAAGGAGGTCATATCCTCTCCCCTTAACCATACACTCGGCCATAGCATCCCTTTTTTGAGAGAGAATATCTGAAAATTATCATCTCCACCTTTTCTATTAGAACCAAGCTTAAGTGAGGAAGAAAGAGAAGAGAAAACAAAAGAATAGGAAGGAAAAACTAAACTCAACATAGGTAATGATCTCACTTATAATTTATCCTTCTCTAATACTCTCATATGATTAATTAAATCAGTTTATAGACCCATAGGCTTGTTCTACACATTTAGATGTGAAGAATGAGGGGTTGGAAGGTTGGCTTGTAGCCAACAACAGACATAGAAGCCAAAGTAGAGCGGTTCACCGGAAAGTGACTTTTGAGAAGTCATAAGTATTAATATGAGTCTTTGGGACACAAAAACTTATTAAGGACTTGTTTAAGGTGGAGTTGACTTTCTCAAAGAGTTTAGAAGTGGTCATAGTGGTCGTTGGAGCTTGCCGAAGTTTCGCCGGAGTTTCGTCGGTGCTCAACCGGGGAGGTTTCATTAAGGTGAGAAGACGACTTTATGCTTTATGACTTTTAAGTGAGGCACGAGATTACCCAAATTAATCCATGAATATTATTTATGAAATGATTAATTACATCTAAGCATGTGTTATGACTTGTTAAAGCATGATTATAGTTGAAAAGCATATTCTACGAGTTTGGTTATTAAAAATGTCATCATTTACTATGCATGATGTTCTAGAGATCCAAAAAGGTATTTTTCATATTCCTTAAATGTAATTTCATAGAGATTGGACCTAGTTTGGGCGGTCAAACGGGCGTTGACCTCCAAGTCCAAAATCTGCCAATTATATAAATGGACAGTTTTGGGTGGTTCATCATGGTTCGTTCAAGTGGGAATATTTCATGACGACCTCTATGGAATTATATATGATTATAGGACTAGGAGTAGTCCATATATAAATGTATGAGGTATTAGCCATATCCTAGTTAGGATTATGGAAGGAATGGGTAGGGTAGAGTACGCTTGTGCGGTAATTGATCCTAAATACTCCAGGTTGGGGTTAAGTTCCCTTGGACGGGAAATGATCCTAAATACTCCAGGTTGGGGTTGAGTAACCTTGTGCAGTAAATGATCCTAAATACTCCAGGTTGCGGTTGAGCACCCTTGGGAGGTAAACGACCCTAAAAGACTCGGTAGAATATACGAATGTAGGATGTAGCTTACGAGCTAGGCATTCGGGAAAAGGAATGAGAAGGGTCGAGTATAGACTTATTCTCTAAGAGACTCTTTAAATGAAAATGACCTGTGAGTTGAGTATTTTACAAGTATATACAGTATGTATAATCTTATGGGTGGGGTAACAGTAGTTACACTGTATCATTACACCTATAAATATAGGTATCACCCTATTTTTGGATCTTGTGTCTGAAACATTAGTTATTCCTCATATAGCATGCTTGTCACTAGTACTACCTTTTTTGGCCTCACTATTTTCAGGTTAAGGCTAGAGTCTTACGACATGCACCTTCGCTTAGGGTGATCGCTCGTGGATATTTAAACATTGTTTTCTATCAAAACATTTGGGGGTCTGCATGCTCATGTTTTCCACGTGTGGCTAAATATCAAACACATTATTATTTCCGCATTTTATTGGGTTGTTATATTGATGTTGGTTGTATGTGTTTACGACTAATCGGTTTGGCAATAGAATCTATCGGACGCCTTTTATAATTCAATAGGGATGCACTACTGTTGTTCTTATTGGTTGTACGGTGGTTGTCTACATGGCATGGATGCGGTCCGGGGCGTGATACATGCTGATGCTATTTATTGTCGAATATTAAAGGGAAATTAATATCTATCGGTACTTAGTGGCACGTACATTTGCTAGTAATTTCTATCAGTAAATAATGACAGAAATATTCTGTCACTAAAATCCATCATTAAACTACAAAATAAATAGTACTCCCAAATCAATCTTCCACGCATCTCACTTGATCAATTCACTTCAATAGCCCCCAAAATCGAAACTCTGTTTAAAATGAAGTTTTTTAAAGAATTAAAGTTTTATTATATATGGGCATATATATTTATATATTTTATTATATGGGCATATATGTTTGGATAAGAGAAAATATGTTGTGCTTTGTTTCTATCAATTTCATAATGTCTCTTCAAAACTAGATTTTAAAATCTAATTATAAGTGTGATGGAGATGATATATAGGTAGAAAATAGGTACAAAATTTGTTATTGAGTTGATTTTACTTGGAGTGATTGAGAAATATGAGAAAGAAGTATTTTAATTAATTAGTTTATTCAATGAAGGTGTAAACGAGCAATAATGGATCGCGCATGTTTATTTATAAAATGATGCCTCTTTTTCATGAGTTTATTTTTGATAAGCTATCTTTTTTTGTATACATGTCATTTGAAGATACTGAAATACAATATGATTTCATTTAAAGGTATAGAGATGTTGGACAGAAGAGCAAATGAAACTATCTATCCCAAGAGGAATCAGGTAGTTGGGGTCGCTCAACACCATCTCTACATCCTGCTGCACTTGGAAAGAACCCTATGCTCAATATGGTGTCATTTAAAGGTGTAGGAGCTGCCGAGCAGCAGAACAAATCAAACTGTCTGAACCAAAGGGGGTACTAGGCATGCATTTCAAACTGCTCAGCACCCTCTTCGCCTTCTACTGCACGTATTGGGATGTTTTTTATTTTCTAGATGACATCTGTTTGATTGGGTTGTATATTTTGATGTTCTATTTGGGCGGAAAATACTTTTATGTTTGGATTTCTACAGGACTATGGTTATATATATAAGATTTTAACGTAAAGGAAAATAAAAATACAACAGAGTGTGTCACTAAATATGGTCAAATTAAATTGAATGTTTATAACTTTGATTTATGCTCTCCCTGACTGGTTATATTTCTAAGGAGATTGGGAGTGTAGTTGTTCCTTGTGGTAGTGAATGAACATTTTTCTTGCATCACATGAAAACATGTTTGCTTTATCTGCATAGTTCCAATGTCGAATTAAACCGAACGATATATAAGTCTAATTATGAGAGTGGAGTGCTCTGGAAGACCAAACAATGATTTGCCATCTTTGGTTAGAGAGAACTACCATTCACAAGTGATGAGAGTGGACGTGATTGCTTGTTAAGTAAATACCTAATTAACTACAAGAGTAGTTTCCTTACTAGCACTAAATATCCGAGTCAATATCTAGGTTATCCGAACTGATATCCTATGTTTCTGTATCAGTTATTTCTTTGTTTGTATTTTTTATTTTTTTTATTTTATCTCATGTTAAGTGTTGTATTATTTTATCATATTCTATTTGACTTTGAGGCAATATAATGAGTAACATTTTGACATTATTTTCAATAATGTGGAGTGATTTTAAATATTGTAACATTGTTTTTTGATTTTCTAATATTATTTGACATTTTCAACATTGTTTTCAATATTGTGACTTTCTGTACGTCATTGTACCATAAATTCCACATTGTAGTAATGTTTATACCTACAACATTAGTAGTGTAGTCAACATGGTGACACCTTTTTGTAAAATTGGTTTATTTCTTTATAATATGTATAATTTTTTATTTTAGCAATGAAAAATCTCACTCCAATATAACAATCTAGTCTGACTGCGTGAATAAGGCACTACATAGTGACCTTAGCGGAAATACAACAATGGTCACTGGAATCGTCCATCAGCTTTCGATAGTGGTTTCCATAATCTGCAATGGTCGGAAGATAGAATCTGGCGTCGAATGCCACTATTGAATATTGTTGCCTTAAGACATAAGTGGTTGCCTTAGATCTTGTAAAGGTGGTGGTTCGAGAGCCAATAGCAGAAGTTTTCAAAGAGTTTGGCGGTTTTCAAGAGTCGCTAGCGTTAGTTTTTCAGAGAGTGTGACTACCATCAGTAGCCACTAGTTGCGGTTTTCAGAGGCTGTTATTGTAGTCTCACTAGAGATGGCAATGGTGGTCTCACGCAACAAAATTATAGACAGATATGGTAATGGAAGTCACTAATCGTTCAGTTGTGCTTTTTGTAAATCTGATAGTGTTTGTTGAATGGTCCGACATTGTTCGTCAGAGGTACAGTAGTGCTATGAAGAAAATAGTGCTCACATGTGATAGCGGTTCATATGCTTCAGCGGATTTCAGACGGTGGCCATCACAATTCTCATAGCGGTCGCAAGAGTTGGGGCACTCGTTCTCAAAGTTTAATTTGCTACTAGAGCAGATAACGGAGATGATATTTTGAACTAGTTTTTAAATCAATGAATCCATATGTCAGAGTTGCAAATCGATGAATGTATATTTTTATCCCTCTTAGATTTGTAGTCCAATTTAGGTTTATAGAAGTAGTTACTCTTATTTAAATATAATATAACGGTAATGTTTAACTATTGTCTGTATCTTTTTTCAAATAGTGAAATTTCATCATTTTACATTAAAAGTTTTCCTTTTGACATCGGATTTTAACTTCAAAAAATTCTCGAGACCTTTTATTTTTAGATCAACGATCATAATTAACAAATTTTTTTTATTAGATCAGCTTCTTATATGAACCTAAATATATATGTGTACATATAAGTCTTTATTTGTTTGTGTGATTTCATTCGTGTGTGCGTGCACATATGAATTGTTATATGGCATTTGATTGAGAGAATGTGTATTGACCTCTCCTCCTCCCTTGTCTTTAGAACTTTGTTTCAGTTTATATATTTATTTACAACCTATTCATATCACACCTTAATCTGGGCTATATAGTATGACAATGAATATCTAAGTCTAAGCAAAAAAATCATTTAACTGAATAAAGTTTTATTGTTGTTCTTAAAATGCTTTGAATACATATGGTGGAAAAACACTTTTAAGGAAAGACGTGTCTTTGTGATTACTAACATACAATTTGACAAGTGCAAATGCTTTGGTTTGCTCCAAGAGCCGAACATACACACTTTTGGGGCATCTCACTTGCCGGCCAATGGAACAACGCCAAGTATCCACAACTAATGTTACTACACACATCGTCTACGGTAAAAGTTCCTGGGCAAAACATGATGTCATCCCCTAAAACAAAAATAGAAATATAAAACTACGTAAGAGATAAATACGATACTCATACATAACATTTAATCATCTTCTATTCTATAATCTTTTGTCTTAAGATAAAATTATGACCTCCCATACCATGCATGTATACTAATTGCAATAGTAATTTTTTTAGTTACAATGGAATAGATAGTATAAAAACAATGCAGGTATTATTAAAACAACGGTGTTGAATAATTATATTCATATAGGTATTGGAAAACATACCTAGAGACGGAGTAAGAAGACTCAACAAAATTGCTAATGAAAGAATGGTGGTTACAGTATAACTCTTCATGATCTTTGTTATATGATGATGATGATGATAAAATAATGACTTTAGAGTATTTAAGGAGGATAGATTGTAATTTTTCTCTGGTGGTGTCACAGATGCACACACACACATATATATATTCATTTGTGCATACGTATCTTGAAAAGTAGAAATAATATCTAAACTTAAACAGAAAGACAATCAAGTCATGGACCTATTTGCTATATAAAAAGTTCATTGAAATAGTATGATATCGTCTAAATAAAGGATGTACTTAAATTCATTTATATGAATGAATGTTCATAATGATACAATTGAACAATTAAAAAATCTATGTAGAATACTCGCATGTTTCCACTCTTATAATGCCTAAAAGTGTAATGTTATAAATACATTAAATGTGTACATTCTAGGGAGATACTTTTTTGTGGCACATATTCATTAAGGATTTGAAGATGAAAAAATTAAGTATGTCATTGATCACTATCCAATGAATGTGTGATGGCATGTCGTAATGTCCTCATACGATATCCATATTTATTCAGTGGCAGATTAAAGCTCGTAATAAATTCCAGGGACCACTAAATGAAATTTGGGAAATATATATTCACTCTACAAACCCAAATTAAGTGGTAGAATGATACATATTTCATTTGGCCTGATAAAATGAAATTTAATTAAAACAATCCAGAAAATACAACTTTCGAGACGAAGTGTACATTTCGAGGTACAAAGGGGTGACCTCCCACATAAGTGGGGGTCACCCCAAGAAATAATTTAAAACAATTGCATAAAATGGGTGGCTGGAGAGACGGGAGAAGGATGGAAGGGGTTTGACTTGAGAGAAATGGCATTGAAAGGACATTTGAGAAGTCATAAGTATTAATATGAGTATTTGGGACACAAAACCTTATTAAGGACTTGTTTACGGTGTAGTTGGATTTCTCAAAGAGTTGAGAAGTCGTCAGAGTGGTCGTTGGAGTTTGCCGAAGTTTCGCCGGAGTTTCGTCGGTGCTCAACCGGGGAGGCTTCATTAAGGTGAGAAGACGACTTTATGCTTTATGACTTTTGAGTGAGGCATGAGTTTACACAAATTAATCCATGAATATACTTTATGAAATGATTAATTACATCTAAGTATGTGTTATGCCTTGTTAAAGCATGATTATAGTTGAAAAGCATATTCTACGAGTTTGGTTATTAAAAATGTCATCATTTACTATGTATGATGTTCCACAGATCCAAAAAGGTATTTTTCGTATTCTTTAAATGTAATTTCATAGATATTGGACCTAGTTTGAGCGGTGAAACGGGCGTTGACCTCCAAGTCAAATATCTGCCAATTATATAAATGGTCAGTTTTGGGTGGTTCATCATGGTTCGTTCAAGTGGGAATCTTTCATGACGACCTCTAAGGAATTATATATGATTATAGGACTAGGAATAGTCCATAATAAATGTATGAGGTATTAGCCATATCCTAGTAAGGATTATGGAAGGAATGGGTGGGGTAGAGTACGCTTGTGCGGTAAATGATCCTAAATACTCCAGGTTGGGGTTAAGTACCCTTGGACGGTAAATGATCCTAAATACTCCAGGTTGGGGTTGAGTAACCTTGGGCGGTAAATGATCCTAAATACTCCAGGTTGCGGTTGAGCACCCTTGGGAGGTAAACGACCCTAAAAGACTCGGTAGAATATACGAATGTAGGATGTAGCTTACGAGCTAGGCATTCGGGAAAAGGAATGAGAAGGGTCAAGTATAGACTTATTCTCTAAGAGACTCTTTAAATGAAAATGACTTATGAGTTGAGTATTTTACAAGTATATACGGTATGTATCATCTTATGGGTGGGGTAACAGTAGTTACACTGTATCATTACACCTATAAATATAGGTATCACCCTATTTTTGGATCTTGTGTCTGAAACATTAGTTATTCCTCATATAGCATGCTTGTCACTAGTACTACTTTTTGTGGCCTCACTATTTTCAGGTTAAGGCTAGAGTCTTACGACATGCACCTTCGCTTAGGGTGATCATCAATAAGGAAGACTTGGTTCGTGCTTCCATTCTTAGTTGAAATTATGGAATCGCTCATGGATATTTAAACATTGTTTTCTATCAAAACATTTGGGGGTCTGCATGCTCATGTTTTCCACGTGTGGCTAAATATCAAACACATTATTATTTCCGCATTTTATTGGGTTGTTATATTGATGTTGGTTGTATGTGTTTATGACTAATCGGTTTGGCAATAGAATCTATCGGACCCCTTTTATAATTCAATTGGGATGAACTACTGTTGTTCTTATTGAGTTGTACGGTGGTTGTCTATATGGCATGGATGCGGTCCGGGGCGTGATACACGTTGATGCTATTTAGTGTCGAATATTAAAGGGACATTAATATCTATCGGTACTTAGTGGCACGTACATTTGCCAGTAATTTCTATCAGTAAATATTGACAGAAATATTTTGTCACTAAAATCCGTCATTAAACTACAAAATAAATAGTACTCCCAAATCAATCTTCCACGCATCTCACTTGATCAATTCACTTCAATAGCCCCCAAAATCGAAACTCGGTGTTGGGATATTGATCCAGAGGCCCAATACCCGGATCAGGAAGGCCCAAGATACCCGGCCCAAGCAACGGGCCCATCACATGATGATAGGATAATCATGGTAGAATTAATGCCGAACGAGAATCGGCCCAAGTAAGGGTTGGCCCAGTAAGGAGACATACCGAACGGAGTTCGGACTATATATCATACTTGGGCCAATTTGACAGCATCTTCAGCATAGCCCAACATCCCGTTCGGGCAACGGCCAAACCGCAAGTAGCCAGGTGCAAATAATGCCAGACTGTGACATCAGCAAGTGGAAGCATGGATGACCAAGTCGGTGGAACAACGGCCAATCAGCATAGGGCAGCCCATGCTCTCCATTAGTATAAATAGAAGGTTTCAAGTCATTGTAAGGGTTAGCATTTCAATACTCAGGCCTTAGAATAGCATCATTGCTCTTATTTCTTGTATTAAAGCATTGTTTCCGACCTACCGATCGGGAATTTCCTTGTAATCAGACTGGTTAATTAATACAAGTGGGCTTTCGAGTATTATTGAGTTCAGATTTTATATTTTGTTTATACGCTTTGATTCTGGGCCATTCCTGATATATCCAAAGTCCGTGTTGGGCTTTCGGATCTACGGGATTTACCCTCAACATTGGCGCCGTCTGTGGGAAACTTACAAAAAGTTTCACATTCAAATCATCCAAAAACCTCTATTTTTCAAAAATGGCCAGAATCAGCTCCTATCATACAAACGACGGTTCACGCCGTCACGGGAGGAGTCACACCCCGGGGAGTCAAAACCCTCAGGGACAATCCAGCCGGGGATCGTATCCTCGTTTTGATGGGGATTTTGTGATTCCCGAATCTCTGAGAAGAAATCCTCAGGCCATGCGTGACATGGCCCAGGTCATGCAGCATATGGCGAACGAAGAGGAAGGAGGTTCCAGCTTTACAGGGGAGACTCCACGCACGGAAACAACCACGGTGTCATCCCGTTCACATGCCCATCGGGATAATCGACGTAGCGCCCCACCAACAGCGCACCACAGTCCCAGTGACCGAACCCCGATCAGATCACAAGCTAGAGGACCAACTCCCGTTGGTCATCATTTCCAGTATGCCGAGCGGGAAAATACTAGGGCCCCTCAACGGCATTGGGACCGGGGCTGTACGGATATGAGGGCTCCACCCCTGCCCCCTTTGACGGCCCAGGAGGAAGAAATGGCCGAGTTGAGGAGGCAAATGAATGAAATGCGAGACCAGATGAACAGGGTGCCTGTACAACCTGCCCCGGTTCAGCTGGGAATTACTTCCCCATTTACTAGGCAACTCATGTACGCAGATATCCAAGGGGGTGCCAAGCCCCCGACCGGCCAAATCTATGACGGGGTGGGAGATCCCCACGTACATTTAAGGAGTTACCAAGGGGGACTCATGCTGCTAGGAGCACCCGAGGCCGCTATTTGCCGGTTGTTTTTCAGCACGCTCAGGGGGCCTGCTCAGGAGTGGTTCGGGACACTGCAGCCCGGGTCAATCAACAGCTTTGCCGAGTTATCGGCGTTATTCTTGGCTCAGTTTGCTTCCAGTGCCAATCCCAAACGGCACTTCAGCTATTTGACCAGCGTGAAGCAAAACGCCAAAGAGACCCTCAATCAATTCCTGAAAAGATGGAGGGATGAAACTTTAACGGTGGGAAACATGACGGATGATACCGCCATTACCCTATTCACAAATGCTCTCCGAACGGGGGAGTTGTACAAGGAGTTAAAGAAAAATCCGGGTACAGTCTACGCCGAGGTATTAGACAGGGCTCGCAAGCATGCCGCCCTAGAAGAGGAGATAATGATCAGGGATAAGGTCATTGCGCCTGCTGCCCCGATCAGAATGGCCGATCGGCTGGGTCCTAGCCCAGCGGCCGCTTTACCTCCCAAGCAACGGAGATTTACACCCCTGGTCTTATCAGTAGCGACCATTTATCAGCATGAGAGGGACAATATTCCCCTCCCGACTGATTCTGGACAGTTCATGGGAGCGGATGACAATGCTTTCTGTAAATATCACAACAGGAAGGGTCATGCCACCAATGCCTGCAGGGCCCTACAAACAGCCATTGAGGATTTGATCCGAAGGGGTCATCTGGGCAAATATGTAAATAAAGATCCAAATGCTATGGGCACGTTGAAACCGGTCAGGAAACCTAATAGCTGGCACCGGGATGCCCAACGTGACGCCCAGCCTCAAAATGATGTGTATGTTCCCCCCAGAGATGAACCAGAGGGCTCGGGAGGCCCTGGAAAGAAACCTCGGATGGAGGTTAAGGTTATATTCGGGGGCGGGGAGACAGGGGATTCGAACGCCGAACGGAAAAGGTTCGAGCGAAGTCTGTATGTGGGATCCGTCTCCGCTCCCCCCCCCCCCCAGAAGAAAGGAAGGACAGACCCGATCACGTTCGGGCCAGCTGATTTACCCAACTCTCCAAGCCCACACAGGGATGAACTGGTGGTAAGCATGTGTATTCACAATGCT